TATCATTAGAACCTTTTACAAACGTGTGTTTTTTTAAGGAACAACTACCCTCATGTTTTAAAACGACACAAATTGACTAACTTTTATTATTACTGGCGATCAAAAAAAGATATGTAAAATGGTTGTTTATTGCTATGGTATCAAATAAAAATTGCTCAAAATACCAAAAGAAACTGGGTTTACGCTGTAAAAAAATAAGTAAGAATGATTAAATAATGTAACTTTGCAAAACTATTCTAAAATAGTAAAACTGTGAATGAACTTGATATTTTAATAATTTTTTTTTTTGTAAAAAAGTAAATAGGGGAAATCAGGGCAACATGGCGAACGTTTTGAAAGCCCTGAGTTATTTCAAAACTATCAGTTGTGAAGCAATAATACTTTCTTGATATGTTTATGTTATTAAAATGATTCATTACCTACTTGAACTTTCAGTTTGCAAATATAACAATCTAAAATAAATATTAAAATAAAAACTTCATGAATTTGTCATCTGGTCACTTGACCAAGGCAAGATAACTTATTATGCAATTTTTGCCTCCAATTTTATAACATTTTAAAAACTACCATTAACTCTAACTAAAGTAACACAAAATAAAGACACGTCGCATAAAACTAGTTCTAAACTAGGTAAATTTGAAGGACACCATTCATTATGTGAAACCAAAAGTGAGGAATTTTTTTAGGCGCAAATAGTAAAACAATGTGTATAAATTTGCATTAATAGTATTTTAAAAAACCAATTAGTGTTTTAAAATACAATATGCAAATTCAGTTTAGTTTTCACCCAAATTTTTGATTTTTTGTTGAATTGTTATATGAAAACTCATCTTGCCCTATTCGCTATGTTGCCTCGCTTTCTCCTACATACTCGATAATAATAAAATATAAAAAAAATTGAAAACTCAAAATCTAAAGACTTATTAGAAATTCAACATCATTCATATCATTACTTTTTATTAATTGGTTATACTCTGTTCCATGCAAAACAACAATAATTAAACATTCCTCTTAAATTGCGCGAAATTCATTTAAAAGATATAATAATTAAAAACCAACTAAGTATAAAATTTTAAGGAATTTGCGCAGTCGATAATTTATTCTGGCTTCCCTATATAAATTATCTGCAGTCAATAACTGTCAAAAAGTACCAAAACTATTGGCGTAATGTATTGAGTTCGACCATATGTCGATATTTTAAGTCTCAAAATATATTATTTTGGGTTGGTTCACTGTTTGAACTAACCCAAAATATTGACTATGCAAACATAAAATGTTTGCATAGTCAATATTTTGGGTTTATTGACTATGCAAATATAAAATGGGGTAGTGCGCAATCAAAAAAATGTCTAAAAATGTATAGGCTACAAAAACACGCTTGACGAATCATATACTTTAAACAAAAACGAGAACATGCAAAACCACTTGTGAAAAATACGAAAATGATGGGTATATTTGAAATAAAATTAATCGGAATCTAACTTTGTATAGATAATACTTTTGCCAGCAAACTTCAACAACAAGTTTGAAATAATTATAAATGAAAAGTGTAATCTAAAATCAAATAGCAAAAACAACGTTGCCCCCGAAATGAACTAAACTCTCAGAATTTTGTATATCTTATCGAGAACATAAAATATGGAATGACTTTTAATAGGAGAATAAATTTACGTTGAAGTCCTAAAATTTATTCAAGTTTTAAACGAAAAAAAAGAAACTTTTAAAATTTGACTATAAAAAAAAAATTTCTTTTATCGTGTTCTATTGTTTTTTTTATAGTAAAATTTAATTTGGAAGTTTCGTGCAATTTGGAAACTAAATAATTTAATGCTTTATATTATATCGAAACTAAAAAGTATTAAAAATTGTTTTTTTTTCCTAAGGCATACATTCCATAAATGATGTATGAGATTTCTAACAATTTTTCACCCCTCCCCTTGTCAAACTCTGTTATTTTTCTGGCCAATTTCTCCTCCTTTCCTTATATATGATGTCAGTTTTCGTATCTCTTTCCCCTTCCCTGTTCTTCGTCATTTTTTAAAATTGATTTTTGAGCGATCTATAAATGCAATTAAGAAACGGTTTGAAGCATTAACTAAAGAAATTATTCACAATTCAAAGATAGTTTTAAAGTTTTTCTTAATTGCTAGAGATGTTTAAAAATATTTAAAATTGTTTTTGCACCGTCATGCGGGTCACTCGTCGTTTAGAAATTTTATAAACCGCCTTACGGGTCACGCGTCACGAATGGGTTAAAAATGGTACTAGGGGCCATCCATAAAGGACGTCACCAATTTTAGCCAATTTTTGACCACCATCCCCCCCCCCCTTTGTCACAGGTTGACCTTTTTCCCTATACCCCCCTTGAAAAAGACGTCATAAAATCCTGAACCCCCCCCCCCCTATTTTTAACTCCAAAAAAATTTATTTCATCTCGCAATGATGTTTGAATCTACTGCTACACCTTTGAAAAATAAAATTAAAAATATTCTCATACATTATGTTCATAAAAACACATGTTTACGTAGTTTTCCATGTTAATTAAACTAAACTAAAATATCTATAAAGTGACGTCCTTTTCTGACAACCTCCCCCCTCCCCTTGTCCTTTTTTTGTCTTTTTTAACTCGACCCGCTCCCCCTTCCCTATTTGGATGACGTCCTTTATGGATGGCCCCCTAGATAAATTGCGAACTGCGAACCGCGAACTTGTAAAATGCAAACTTTTTTGCGAACGATCGTTGTTAATAATGTAATGTTTTATAGCGGAATATTTTAATATATTTTAAAGACTTTTAAGAGAAAAAATTATTTAAAAATAAATAAAAAGAAATTGAGAGAAAATAGAAAAATACAATACAATTTTTTTTTAATTATTTAATAGACTCTCTGCCTAAACCAAACCCTCAGTCGATGTAGCAGCACTCCATTGCGAATCAGGCTATAAGATAGTCGATGTGGCAACACTCCGCGCATGATTTACAGTTAAAAACTAAAAATTTTATTTTAAATAAAGCTTTAAAATAAATAATTAAGAGTTGGAGAGTTTTTTTTATTATTATTTTTATCTTAACAATAATGGTCTTTAAAATATAAGGTTTTGGTTCGCATTTTACCGGTCCGCAGTTTGCGGTTCGCATTTTACCGACAACCTTTAAAAAATGAACAACAGTTGATTTTGTTTACAAGAGTTATTTTTGTTTACTTTGTTCTTTAAAACTTATTTTTGCGTTTAATGTCACGATTTTAACTGCCATTACAGTGGCGGAACCACTGGACGCAGGACCCTGCGTTGCGGGGGAAGGGGGGCCTACCAGCTATAGGGGGCCCTCATGTAAATAAAGTTATGCTCTCAATAATATTTATACTATAAAAGTCTTTCCGCAAAAAAAACATTCTTTTGCGGGGGAGGGGGGGGGGGGCAAATTTTGAAGTTCCATTATAAACGACAATCATGACATGGTTGGTTAACGGCAATTTAATATATCCATACATTAAGCCACATAGTTTGTTTTAATGTTTTTTTATAAGTTTCAAAATTTAAAAAAGGTTTTAAAACGTGAATTTTTCTTACATTAAAAACAGAATTTTAAAGATTTTTGAATTAAAATAGTTTTTTATATTTAAATTATAAAAAAGTATTCATTTATATATATTGTTTTTATTCAACATAACTAAATTTGTTCAAAAAAGTTGTGGTTTTACTGTCACAGTACTAGCTAGCTGCAGTTTTGTGACAAATGGCCTTAACGTAACATAAGACCAACATTTATCTCTTTGGCATTGAAAATGTTCGCGTAACTTTTGAAAATCAAAACTTGCGTACTCAAATTATTTTTTGTTTAAAAAACTTTTATTTTTATAACGATCGTTTAATAAAGTTTCATTCGCGGTTTTAAAAACATTTAAACGCGGTGTTTATTAGTCTAAACTTGAAACTGAATTTTTCTAAAAAAGAATAAATGTTTAATTGGTTTTTATTTAATTTTTCTAGCTTAAAAAGTAGTTAAAAATCTTCCTTGTTTTTTACTATATTTTCTAAATATTATAGTTCTCGGTAATTAAAATCACGGTTTGAAACTGCTACTTATGGAGAGAGAACAAATTTTTTTACAAAAAAATTGAAAACCATTTAAAAAAAAGTATTTTTAATTAAATTATTTATTAACATTATATTTATTAACATTTTATATAAAACATTTTGATCGATTAAGTAAAATTTAAAGTCAATTAAAAATTAAGTAAAAACGTCAGATGAAATATGAAATTTCGAACTAAAAATCTTCGAAGAAAAATTCTACTAAACCATCGAATTTTTTTATTTTGTTGAAGACGAATTTTTTATTTTGTTGATCTCTTCAAGAAACAATGGCGAAAACCTTGAAAAGTTATTTTTTTATAAACATAAATTTGTATAAAAGGTGTATAAAAAGTGCAAATCTAATAAAAAAAGTTGTTTTATTCAAAATTCAATCAACTTAAAAACTTATTGACTTAATCTTAAATACGATATTATTTGAAAAGAAATTGATAATAAAATAAAAATAATTAACATTTTATTTTAATTTGCATATTTAGATTTTTTAATTTAATTCTTAAACATAATAAAACATAAAAATATAAATAAAATATTAAACAAACATTTATTACTTATTAAAACAAATGTTTATTAACAATGTTATTTAAAAAATTATAAGTTAAGAACATAATAATTAAAAACTGAAAATATAATATTTAAAAAAAACAACAATAAATCATGTACCGTAATTTATAATTTTACAAGTATAATATTATTAATAATAATAATATATATGAAAATTTATATACTATAATAATATATTTAATAATTTATATCATAATTATAACTATTAATATATTTGAAAACGAATTATTTATAAAATATTTTAATAGTAAAAAATTAAACTTTTAAAATATTAAATCTAATAAACTAGAAAAATTAATTTGTATATTTAAAAACGTATTTATTATAAAATAATACATTAAATATTTCATTAGTTATTTATAGTTATTGTTTTAAATTAATATATTTAAGGTATTAAATATTTTATCATGTTGTAAAGTTTTTTAATTCATCGAGGTTACGAAAATAATTTTCACGGTACTTGATCCAACACTCTTTGACATTCGAACAACGAATCCATTCACAAATTTCTTTAATAAAATCAATGGCTTTGTGAAGTTCAAGAGTTAATTTTTCACAAAGATTAATCCACGGAAGAAAATTTTCTTCAAAATCATTTTTTGTTATTAAATAATTTGAGATGTCTATCTCCAACACTTCAATCTTATCTTTTGGTTTCCATCCATCGAAATTAATTGGACGCCAAAAGCTGATAAAAGATGATAAAAAATGACATTGCGATAAAAGATGATAAAAGCTGACCTCGCGAACATTAGTTGAACATTGTATTAAAAGTTTTTTTTCTTCATCACTTAAAATAATTTTATTAACATATAAGCTCGATAACTTTCTTCCAGATTTTACGTAATGATTTATGAAATAATTTTCGCAAGAAGTAAAGTAAGAAGTTTTTCCATCGACAATCAAAATCCACCACTTTCCTCGTTCATCAACAATTGATTTTATTTCATCATTAAATGATGATTGACTTTCATAAAAACATTCAATGAATAAATAGTGGTAATCTTTATAGTAATCACTTTTACTTAGACGATCTAAAGTAAAAATAAATATTAATTATAAAAATGAACAAATAATAAAAATAATAATCAAAATTATAAAATTATATACATTATAATATTCATACGTATAATTTTTATTAATTTATGATTGAATAAAAAACATACAATTTTTTATTTTTTATTAAATAGACTATATTTTATACAATAATATTATATACATAAATTTATATTAAATTAAAATGATATAAAAAAATAATAAAAGTGTGAAACCTTTAGATAAAATAATTCATATCAAAAATAAATATATATAAAAATGTAATATAAAATATAATAAAAAAGACAATTTTTTAATTTTGTTAATTTATCATATTTCTAAAACAAAATAATTTAAATATAAGTTATAAATTAAGCATATTTAAAATAACATAACAAAAATTAGAACGGTTGTTCACACACATAAAAGATTCATAATCATGAGACATTTACACATCAAAATCAACATAATTTCATCATTAAAGCTACAAAATGTAATATATATAATATATAAAAACAAGCAACAAACATAAGATAAACCGATTGAATTTAAAAATTACAATAACATCACATCAAACGACATTTTGTTTTAAAAAGTAAAAATTAAATCCATGAAACAATCATTTCAACGCAAACAAGAAAATAATTCCTCATTCACAATTGTTTCATGTAAATCATTATTCTCTGAAACTTTTTGCAAAAGAAACAGGTTTTTTCTAAAATATCAAACTTAGACGAACGATTAAAAATAAACGGTTGAAAATGCAATTAAATAATAGCTCAGTATGTTTTAAAATTAGTGTGGCATTGGTACTTACATACCATTATCATACTGTACTAGTTTTTTTGCATACTAAAGAATGCCAAACATTTTTTAAAGTAAAAAATTTGTAAATCAATAAATTCTACGCGATGAAAATATATTTTTTGTAGCGTAGAGTTTTTGTGACGAAGGTCTTACCTTAAACTTGATAAAAGAATTTTTTTCAAGGTTTATAAATATGCATTTTTTTTTTTTGCACCACTAACATTTTGAAGGCAAGTTGTTTTATTTTTTAACATATTTTCTAAATCTTAATTTATAATATTCTAAATCTATTTTCGATTTACCTTTCCATAAAAAAAAACTCACTCTTTCAAACTCAATTATCGCATTTCCAAGAGATTAAATATAAAAAAAGTTTGAACATTATAAAAACATGTATCTATTTGCTATATTATATTTAAAAAAATAAGCTTAAAGATAGAAATCAAAATATTATAAAAAATGTTACATTAAATTTAAAGGTTTACACATTTTAGCACCTTAATCTTGTATATTTATAATATAATTTAACTAATATATCAACAATAAAAAAATACTTATTATCATCAAATTTACACGAAAAACAGTCGTCGTAAGTTAAGGTTATGTAACAATATAAATTTTGTTTTAAAACAAACTTTTTTAATAAAAACAAATAAACGAATATAAAACTGAAGAATACTTACTTACGAATTTTTAAAAGTATTTGTGACCAGTGTGAAGTTACATATATGTTACATACAATGTTACAGTGTGAAGTTACATACAATGTGACATTTTTCAATACAGTGTGAAGTTACATACAATGTGACATTCAGTTACATACAGTGTGAAGTTACATACAATGTTACAGTGTGAAGTAAACATTGGTAACAGAATAATTTCGTACTTTTTCCAAAAGAAACAAAACGTTTGGTTTTATATACATAAAACTCGATGATCGAACTTTATAAAAATCTTTTCACAAATTCGAACAAAAAATTTAAATCAACCGCTTAGTTTTATAGAATTATATCGTAACTATCGCAACCGTTTAAAATGAAAGTATTTGTGAGTTCACAAAAAAAAACAACGTTTAAATCACGTTTTAAGCTTGATAACACGTCGAATAATAAATTATACATTATTTTAAACAGAAAATAAACTATTAATTCTATTAAGTATAATGATGTGAAATAAATAAAACGAAAAATAAAAGTAATAAAAAAGAATTTAGTTACTGTTATTTTTTCTGACGTTATAACCGTAATCTAAACTTAGCGTAATCTAAATATAACGTAATAATAAACCAGATCAAAAAACCACAAAAAAAAAAAAAAAAAAATAGTGAAACGCATGTTTTTTAAACAGAATTTGTAATGTGTTAATTAATATTAGTATACATATTATTATATATTAGTTTGTAAATTAATATCAGTATACATATAAATAAACAATAAACCGAATAAAAATTAAATAATATAACTAATTTTATAAAAAATTTCTCATTATATAAACGTAACAAGACATTTGTCTTGTTATGTTTATATATATAAACTTTATATTATATAATTATTTTATATAAACTTTATATTATGTAAACTTATATTTATATCAGTTATAAACCATATCTTTCACAAAATAACTTTCTTTTGCCTAATTTTATTTTTGCTTAGAGACGTTTTTTTTTTGTTAAACACGTGACAAACAAGAGATTGAGAAAAAAAAAATTTTTGCTTAAAAAGTATAAAAAATTCACTAATTTTAAAATAATAGTATTTTCTATAAAAGCTTTGATCTTCAAAAAAATAATTAAAATTAATTATTTTTTTGAAGATCAAAGCTTTTATAGAAAATTAAAACAATAAAAAATGGATGTATTTATCCTTGTTCGACGGAGCATATACCACAAGAGCAGATCTTCTTGTTTCATTCTACTTAACTTTTTATTTTGACAACAATCATTCAAAAAACAAACCATCTAGTTAGGTTATCAGTAAAGCTAAGTCTTTACTGAAGGCCTTACAATTCTGTTCAAAAGTATGATTTTGTCTTGCATCCTCTATAAACTCAAGTTGGATGAGAATTTATATCCAAATTAATTCATGGTCCATAAATTGCTTCACTAATTGAATTAATAAACTAACCTTATCCAATAAAATAACCTTTTGTCTTAATTGCTAAAAAAAATGAAATTAATAAATTTCAACTATTATACAAATTCATTGAGAATAATTTATCTGAACTATGATGCACTTGTGCTATCTTTTGCAAATGATGGTTTGTGATCAGATTCAAAATTTTATTTAAGACACACAAATTGAGATCTGGTCAAGGCAAACACAAGTTAATTTAAAAACAAAATTTCTTTACAAAGGTATTTATCTCTGCTTGAGGAAAACTACAAATAATAATAGTACTAATAAAAATAATAACTGCTTTTCTTTGAAAAGAATGATAATTTATAAATAATTTCATCAAATTGTTTTTTGGTGCATAAAAAAAAAGCCATATAACTTGTAGATGAACAAAAAAGCGTTTTAAAAAAACCTAAAGTAAAAGTAAGCTAACTTAAAAACATCTAAAAAAATCTGTGCCTTGTGATTTTAAAATCAGAATAACTAGAAAATAACTTGGAAATTGAGTAATATTTTACACATTAAAAATTATTTATACAATATCAGACATACAATATCATTATTATGACAATATCAGAATAAATATATAGTGAAATTAAATCTATTCTCTACTTATTTATAATATATTTTAGTAACATTATATTTGTTAGATCAGTAACCTTGTTTTATTTTTATTTTTTATAACTACTACAATTTAACTTTCTTGTAGCTTAGTAAACTGAAATGGTGAACTCTTAAACTGTGATTAATCTTATCAGTTTTAAATTAAATCTCAAATCAAATTTAGACAAAAGCAGATTTGCTTTTTATTTGAAATTTTTATTTACTTAGGTTTTTGTTTTATTGATTGTTGATATTAATTCCATATACATTATTGTACCAAAGACAATGTAGATTTAAACTGTGATTTAGCTTAAACCTCACCTATTTATGTGAATAGAAATCTAAAATGCTATATTTACTATAACAAAATTTAGATGGTGTTAACCTAAATACTAGTAGTCTACTTTGAACTATGCTATTAGATACTGGGATAAAATCTTCTATTTTGCATAATTAAGTTCACCTGGCCACTGTTTTAATTCTAATTTCTACAAGTTTGATTGTAAACTACTTTGACTGTAAACTAGATAACTTAAGAACACCAAAATTAGTTTGTTTTAGCTGCAAAGAAGTAGAAAATAATTAATTTTTTGACCGCCTAATGAAAAGGAATATTTGCTTTAGTTAGTTTTTGGATTAAAGATGCACTATTTAAGTTAAGTGTATCCAATCAATTACAAAGGCAAATATATACCATTTTCAAAAGAGTAATTATAGATCTGTCACAAAAGGAATTAAAATCTGGCTTACTTTGTGACATCATTTATCAGATCTGCAAACACATTAGCAAAGAAAATTTAAAAAAGATATTTTTGACCAAGACCTGGCTTATTTCATTTACTAGATAATGAAAGCAGATGCTGAATAAAAGAATATCAAAATTCAGCTTATAAAAAAGGGAAGCAAAACCGCCTACAAAAAGCAAAGAAGATGGACTGACACACCTAGATTTATTCCAGATTGATTAATTAAATAAAGAAATAATTCCAAACAAAATTCCAAATGGTTTCAAAGATATGATTATTCAAACTTTGTCCTAAATAGTCTAGTTTAAGTTGTTACAAAGAACTGGAGAGGTTTTTTCATAACCAAAAAAAAAAAACATGGTCAAATTAACTTAAATTTGTAAGTTATAAAACATTTATGAAACATGAACAATTATAAAATGAAAGGCAAAATAAGGTAGTACTTGTAAGTGCTTAATACACAGAAGTTGCTGTTTAATAATTTTTGGAAAATTTTCCTACTCAACCTAAATTTATTAGGACCTCCTCCCCCTATTTATTAATTTTTACTCAAGGATGTGAAGTTCCAAAAAGGACTGCAGTTTAAAAGACACAAAAAGAGTACTTCTTTCTAGTTTTTAGTATCCAGGAGCTCTAAAAATATAAAAAAGCATATGGTCTTCTAATAAATTAAAATTTAAAAGTTTTTGAACCTTGAATCCTTAGGCATAATGGCAGCAAAGACTCTGT